GGTCGGAATGCTGGTGAGCGCGACACCGCGACTGACGAGGGCCGCCAGGCGAGGACACGGGCCACGCGACGCCGCGAAGAAACTCGACGACGGCACTTACGAGAAATTCCACGACTGTCCATGCACGGGAGACCCCAACTACGCTGCACGATCCCAGCGGAGACCCCACGGCAGCGCGAGGAGGCGCGACGGGGTGTCGTGAAAAGATCCGACGGGCACCGGGGCAAGCTTGGTGGCGCCATCTGACGGGCGAGCACAGGCGGCAGAGCGAGGTCGTGTACGAGAAATTCCACGGACTATCATGCATGGGAGACCCAAGCTACGTCCACGACCCAGCGAGCCACCCGCAGGAGGCGCAGAGGTGAGCGGACCGCGCCGGCCGCCGCACAGGGAGAGGACTTTGTTGCAGCAGGCGTTGCCACGACGCGTCTCCATGCCACGGCGACGCGCCTAGTACACGACGACCGCAGACAAACAGCCGCCGCCGAGAGGTGGCGCCCTCTGACATCAAGGAGGAGGCGTGGCAGGCGCTGCATGGCAGAGTGATGCACCGGCGGTGATTTTAAAGATAGCGACGACAGAAAGAGCAGACGAAAACCGCGGACCACCAACAAAATGACCGAGGAGGATTCCACGCAGGTCAGCAGGAGAGGAAGCGAGCTGCCGAGAGGTCGGGCGAGGCGGGGGGCTACGCAGGGAGCTGGGAGGAGGCGTCGAGGAGGGATGAGGGGAGGAGGACACAAGATGGCGGAGCGCTATTAGCGCAACAGGACGAACTTGCACGCGCGCAGACGACCTGTAGGAGCGTCTCTGCGGCAGTTTCAAATTCGAATTCAAACGATTCAAATCTACGAACTTTCCCTAGCCGAACGTCGCTTTATGATTTCCGTAAATCGGTCGATTTTGTAACAGTGCTGCTTGTGAACATCGTGGTCGTTAGAATAAAGTGCATCGCTAACTATAGATGAGTGAACGTTATTCTTAATAGTTACGGTTCCACTGTCGTGCTAGAGATTGGGGGAAAATTATCTTATATATTAGTGTATTGTAATTGGTAAATGTAACTAAGGTAATTGAGTAATACACCTTAATTGATAGTGATTCCATGAATAGCTATTGTAATTGATAGTGATGAATCCCTACGATATTATAGTGACAATGTTGATTTAGCGAATTCTGTTTTAGTCTGCAATCTCCATAGGCGCTTCATGGTATCAGAAACTGCGTATAACGGACGTCTCGTTTAGTGGAAGAATCTCATGGACGTATCTTCGGCCGTTAAATGAAGTGGATTGATATTATATTTATATATGTGTGTGTGTATGATGTGTGTGTGTGTTGCTGGTGCTGTGTGTTAGTGTGTGTGTGGCATGGTATGAGCGTCGACACAATGTAGTGGTTCGTGTGCGTTGCGTGGTGTGTGAGGTGTGTGTGCCGTGCGGTGTGGTGTGGGGTGCGTGCGTGCGTGTGTGTATGTATGTGTGTGTGTGTCGTGTTTCTCCTCGTCACACACATTGAGAAAGAAAATTGCTCAAGAAACGCAAAGTGATTTTTGTTTGTTTATTCAACCATTTCATGTTTATACATGTAAAAATATTCATAATAGTCATTTGTAGACAAAATTTAATTCAATTGAATTATCTCCTATTAAACCCAGGCCGCAGCGTATTTGAAATTCTTGATCGAATCGCACACGACGCGACGTTTCCTCCCTAGGATCTGACCGGAAGTGACCATTTTACGTTTGTCGCATCGCTGCTAGGCCATATCCAGTAATTAATGCACGTTTTTAGTACAACTCCAATACCAAACGCAGCGCCATCATGTGGCCACACAGACACTAATAGGCTACACACGAACGTGTACACGACAAGGCTATAACGATAAGACGTGAAAACTGACGCAACGATAACGGTAACCCGAAAATGTTTCCGCTTCTCAGGTTTGCGTAGAGTGAAGATGTCCTGCACCCTTTACACTGCTATAGTATGGCGAGCGACAGGCCATTCACTATTTAATGAGCACGGAATCGCCAGCGGAGCATGGCTAAACAGAAAAGCGAGAATTCGTGCGTGCGCGTCATTACCGCCTAGGTCCTAGTTTATAAATTGTACGCGTGAAGTTGTACATCCGCGACGTAACGAGGCGTATGAGCATCGTGCTGCTGCTGCTGCTGCTGCTGCTGCTGCTGTTTCTGGTGTGGTTAGGGGTGGTAGTTCCAGGTCAACCGGCACAAGCTCAAACCATGCTTTGTACGAAGCCGCCCGGAAGTGCTGTCTGCAGCAATTTTGCTCGTGCTTTTAACATTTTATATCTCCGTAATGATTAACCAATTTAAAAATACAATGGCGTCTTGCAAATCGGTTACACAATAAAAAAAAAGACCAAGACTGTTTGTTAGCAGCGTGTAACTTTGAAACTGTCGTCTCAACGATTGATTAGGTCAATATTACCATCTAACCTCCTGCGCATCAGCAAAGAAAGAGCATGTGACTTTCGTCTGGCCAATCAAGGAGCTTCGTTTGAGCATGTATTGTCGCGTATCCCCTGATATGTTCTTGGTTTGTTTAACGGGGTTACAACTGGGAACGACACATTTCCAGCTAGACAAAGTTACTTCCAGCACCGTTCGTCGCAGCTAAAATATACAGAGCAGTTACACACCTTATATACATACATATACGTTGTCTACCTTAATATACACAGGGGTTATCGAATAGGCCATTTATTTCATATTAAAACATAAAGGTGCTTCCCAGCCACGTAAATATAGATCGCAATTCATACATAACGACGTGATGAGTGTATTATTAGGATAATACACGAATGATAACGATAATTTCTCACTTGTTTATAGAACTGGGGAGAGAACCAACTCATGGCATACAGCGGAATGTTGTGTGTGTGATGTAATAGCTTTCTACGGACATACTGTCATTGCTTTAATTGTCATTTAATGGTCAACTTTGCCGTCGCCGTTAAATAAACTCGCTGCAAACTTGACATAAAGCTCCCAGAAGGGTAATAAAACCACGAACTGGTAAAAGCATCAAGCCGATGCACATAAGTAGGATATAAATCCATTGAAGAACTTGCAATCGCTCTCTATCTTTACGGCTATATTTCGTGCAGTATATTATACCTGCACGATCTGTATAACTACCGTAACTGCACGGATAAGAACGAGTACAGCAGCACACGTGCCGGACGCCAATCAAACCTAGCAGATCGATCAACTCGGTTAGAGTAAAACTAAATCTAGCTTTTACTTATGATCTACGGACTTCAGTTCTTTCCATGTGTATATAGTCGTGCAACTAAAACTTGATTCGCTGGCTGCTACACAGGCGATACATTCTCTCTTACTCCCTACCACTGCAGAGTTACGATCTGTGGCATAAGACCGTTTCTATCGGCCGCCAGTAGATCACCTGCCCCAACTCATTACACACACACACACACCGCTCTCTATTGGTCAGACGTGAGTGCACTCGGGTACTTTGAAAATACAAAGTATAGAATTACAAACTATAGATATACGAACTATAGATTTACAAACTATAGAAATACAAACAATAGGGTTACAAACTATAGAAGTACAAACTATAGAGTTACAAACTATAAGAATGTACAAACTATAGAGTTACGAACTATAAGAATGTACAAACTATATAGAGTTACAAACTATAATAATATACAAAACTATAAAGATGCAGACGGCGCATGCGTCAGCGTTTGCTTTACCGACATGATACTAAGTTCTGCGAAGTGAACGTCTGTTTGGAACCGCCAACACACATTAACACCAACCGACCATGAACAAATCTGCACCATATATAATGTAGGAGATCTGTTTATGTTTATACCAGTTCCGTTAGCTCCATGCGGCCTCCTAACTAGTACATCCGTCACCAACTTACCTAGCCTCGAAAGCTAACATCGGGGGTACGTGGTGAGCCGCGATTCGGCTACACTTGCTCACGTCTATAGGTATAACGTCGAATCTAACTAGCCTGCAATTTGCGCCTCTGCTTCACATAAATGCAATCTGGTGGAACAAAATCGAACGCTCTAATTCAACATTGAGGGCAATCGGTATCACAAACTTCTCCCGCCGTTGCTCGCCCATTGGGAAAGCGGGCGCATCAGAGACATAATATGTATATAATTATTATTCAAATAACAACAAATATAACACTATATATATAATATAAAAATAACAACGAGGCTATTTTAACGACCCAACGACTCTATCAATGTAGTAAAGACATAAAACACTTCTATATACAGATAGACCATCCCGGAAAGCTCCTTGTACAGTACAACATCTATGAACGAACGGAAGCTCTATCTCGTACGTCTATAATATAGGCCACATTAAAACACAAGGCTATCGGTTGTAGAACAGCTATATTTAGTTATATTAAGACCCTCATTACTGCACTTATAGGCGGTGAAGTTATACAATTTCGTTTTAATTCCTGTTTACATACCAAAAATACATGACCCATAACAAATGCGTGCACGCGTGTACTAGAGCAGCAATGCCAGTCGCAGGTAGTTACAGTGAAGGAGGCATACATATCTGTGCCAGCCTGCTCTCATTCGCAGCCAGTTCTACCCTATAACGCTGTGCCATTACTACTGACCGAGTAAGCTGTAATAATTGGCGACCCGTCGCAGTAGTGCTTGCGTATGAGGTTACTGCGGCTGTATCGGATCAGGTTAGCTATGTTTAGAGGATCCCACTCTCAATCTCGTACTTGTTAATTCGTATCCGCTGTAGAGCGAACAAACTGATCCGCTTGTCTCCAGTTAACTCCCCCCAACCAGCCGTCATCCTCCAGTCTCGGAGTTTTCTCCTCCCCTGCCACGCGAGAACGCTGCATTAACTCGTCGCGTACTCTAGCTTGATGCCGTGTGAGGCGGGCGTACTGGGGGCCATCATGGCGGCACCGGCGGCTTCCAGGTCCATCGCCGCCTTGTGTAGACTGAGGTTCAGCGGCTCGCAGCGATCGTGCGCCGGCTGTGGCATGTGGTGGTACGCCCCCTGCTGGGGAGCCGGCGAACGAAACGCCGAGTAGTGCGAAGTGTAGGCGTCACCGACGGGCGTCTGCGACGTCGTCTGAGAGTAGACGGGTCGCGCAAATAGGCCATTTGAGGAAATCACCGGTGGCAGCGTTGCGGCAGGGTGCAGGCCGCTCCTCGGCGACCCCTGGGGAGCATTATTGAGGCATCTCGTCGGCAGTACCATGCTCGCCATGCTGGGCAGACTGGTCGCCATCCGCGGCATGCTCGTCACCGAGATGGTGGTGGCGCTATCTACCCTCGGCAGGTGGGAGGCCGGGTCGGAGATGGGAGGTCGCGAGGGGTCAGGGTCACGTGGAGGCAGGCTGTCATATTGCTGCGACAGTTGCAGGTAGGTGTAGGGCGGGCTGAGGCGGGTAGCCACGGGCTGCATGACGGCACTGCGCTGCCCCTCAACCGCATCGATCGTCGCTCGATCCGCCAGAAACTTCTTGTACGACTTGTAGGGGGCACCACCGCCGCCGCCGCTGCTGCTGCCGCCCGTCGCCGACTTGGCGCTCTTCGGCGACTCGGATCCGTCGGAGTCCGTGTGTTTGATGGCGCCGTTGCTGCTTGCCACCGAGCCGACGTCCATGGCGTCGGCCTGCCGGTCGGAGGCGGCGTCCGACATGTCGGCGTCGTCGTGCCGCTTCGGCGAGCGGCCCTCGGACGAGCGGTCCGACGAGATGTCGGTCGAGTCGTGGTCGCGTCGGCTGCGCAGCATCTCAAACTCGCGCATCGTCGCCAGCGAGCTGGGACTCACCTGTGAGCCGTCGCTGGCCGTCGAGTGCGGGCTCAGCGAGTCGGGCTTCTGGCCGCCGTGCCCGACGACGATCGACGGCGGCTGCACGTCCCACATGCGCTGTATGGACGGCAACGGCGGCGCCAACGCGGGAGTGGCGCCCCCAGGCGAAGCGACGCGCGCCTGCGGCCACTGACCTCGGCCGCCCTGCGCCTGCTGCATGGCGTTGAACTGGTTGAGACCGCCGACGGCGAGCGTGCCGAACAGACGGTCGGTGTTGCTGCGAATCTCGGCGCGCGTCGGCGGGTCTGAGCTGGGCGCCATCTTGAGTGCGAGCAGCTTTTCGCTGTGCAGCGTGTTGAGCGTGCGCAGGTCGGGTACCTTCATGATGAGGCGCGCGAACAGCGACGGACCGTCCGGATGATTGTGCTTCATCGTCGCCTGCAGGCCCTGGATCACCTTATCCTGTAGCTTCTCCACGAGCTCCGTATTCCTGATGCCCGGTCGATCTGAGGACGAGAAGCACAGAGCTGCTGCTACTCACACCGAACGTGCTGATCTATGTGATCATTCTTATAGTATAACTGTCCTCATCATGAAGCATACTACATGCATGGTATAAATTTCCCCCAACATAAGGCACACTCGTACGATCTAGCATAGATACCTACGTTGACAATCTAGATATTATATATCTCTATGGTAGGCTACCTATGCTGTATATCAACGTATATCATCTAGACTATAGTGAAGTACAATATAGATCAGATACAAAGAGTATATTTCATTCGAGTACGTTAGATTCGAGCGTATATGATAACGAGTGCACGCGGATGAGACACACGTACCAGGAGCGATGAGCACAATGGCGCAGAAGAGTCCGATCTCCGAGTTCGTCAAATGCAGAGAGTTTAACCGCTTCGCAAAGTCGAACATGGAGTTGATGAGGAAGGCAGAGTTGCCCTTCTGCTGCAGCGTCTCCCGCCGAAACACCTGTCCGTTGATGAAGAGCATCGTGTTCGTCTGCGAGTCGAACATGCAGGCCAACCTCACAAGCAGCACCTCAAACACTCCCGCCTGCAGAGACAACAACAAACAACATCATGAGTGTCGCCTGCAGGAAAGAGACAACAACAAACAACATCATACGTGCCGGCTGTATGAAACACAGCAACAAAGAAAAACATAAACGCTGACTGCAAGAATGACCACAACAAACAAAAATATTAATATTAGCTGCAGGAAATACAACAAACAATTCACGAATGTTCATATATGTATACCACTGTTTCAGCCCTGAGTCTCACTCAGTCAAGTACATACGCACAACAGGTCAATAAAATGCCGCTATTACTTCTCGAATAGATGAGCTCAATTTATCTGCTACTGATTACTCATCCTCGAAAGATAGGTCGTTATTATACACGTCACCATGCAAGAACCCATCAACTACAGCAGTTAATAGGCACTTCACGTAGTGCATCGGCTGTTAATTGCAGGAGACACGCAATGACGAGAGCGCTTCTACTGATTGTCTGTGAGGGAGCGTGTTGCTGCACGACACTCAACCCCCTCCCCTATCCATATCATATATTATATGATACCCCAGGCACACGTAAACCCTTCATATAGAGAGGCGTGATATCACACCATCAGGATAATGGATGATCTCAATGTCATCTCACATGTTCTTACTGTCGGCGCTGATGTGACAAATTGGCAAGGAGGGCGGGTTTTTATGCGGAGGATAGTGTCGTATATATATATATATATATATATATAATTTGAAAAGGGAGTGGGAAAGAATAGCTAGGCGAAGCATAGAAGTTTACTGAAAAATGAGCCGAGATGCGTGTGTGCAGTGGTAAAAAAACTTGTAAAAGAAGAATATCAAGAAGTGATCCTAACGGAAAAGATGTTGGCTGAAGAACATTTCCGAAAAACGATTGGTACCCATACGCGAACTAATAGCTAGAACAGAATGACGAATGAGAAAGTTCTCACAATAAACATTGGAAGGCAAGTAGAAACTAACAGATCACACAGCAACACGACAAATGAGAGATTGGCTGGACGCACCTTTAGTAGCGTGACCTGGTCGTCCTGACAAAGGATGTTGAATCCTGGAATCCGCTTGGCAAACTCGACCACGCCTCGGATAGCCGGAGTAAACCGCTCCGAGAAGCTGTCCAGCATCTGGTCGTTGTCCGGAGATTGGCTTCCCGAAGGGTTGGGATTCAGTGGGCAGGCCTGGTGGCGTGGAGAGACGTGACAAGTAAGTGACTCGCTGCGATAATGCGAGGCCAGCATGTATGCAAGTGTGGCTCATGCGAAAATCGCGGGGCGACAAGCAAACTTTACCCGCATTGCGTCAAAACTCGTGAAATCACACTAAAGATGCTACTAGCTCTAAGTTGCTATTTTAGGTTAATAAGAGCAGCAGATTATGCACTTTTGGTCACAGGTCGGGTACTTGCACCGTCTTTGCAGGTGATCGCACCTGTTATTATACAGACAACACGAAATAATACAGGGCGAGCCACCGTCTCTACCGGTCTGCAGAATTCGACAAATTTCTTACGGAGACGCTGTATAAACATAGAGTTGAATTCGCGCCGCCACGCGCACCTACCATCTGCGTGGGACACTGCGCGTACATGCCGGGGTTCCAGCGCGCCTGCTGCAGCACAGACGAGGCCCTCTCCTTTGTGTATTCACACGTCTCTAGGTGGGCCTGCGACGAAACGGAAAAACTCTTACCGACAATACTTGAAATTGTTTAACTAGAGAAACGAAATCTGGTCAAGAAAGCTGAGACAACACATTTGAGCCAACGAAGGCGGCCATTCCGCGAAGCCGAGTAAACGAAGCCAAGGAAACAAAACTGAAACAATTGTGAAATATCAGTTAGATCGGATCACATTTTGTCCGTTTCTCTCCCCTTTGCCATCTTTCTTATCTACCTCTCTCTCTCTCTCTCTCTCTCTCTCTCTCTCTCTCTCTCTCTCTCTCTCTCTCTCT